CGTCCGTCCACATAAAAATTAATTAAAATAAATAATACAAACGCATCTACAATCACAAACACTACCACCAAAAATGTCCGCGACGCATCGTGGGACGAGGCATCCCGTGGAGTTGTTGATTCTTCTATAGCAAAATAACTTAATAGAATCATTCTTTCTGCGGAAGGAGAGTGTTAAAATTACGTAAAAAAAAACAACACAAGCGCATCTATTGTGTACGATTTAACCTTCAATGAGTTTGCGGAGTAGCTAGTAAATTTACTTCCATATTTTTATAAATAGCGCCTAAATTTTATAAGGAGAAATTATTTTAATGGTTGATTTTGCTATGCTCCAATTGAAGGCGTTTTTCTCTCAATATACTTTAAGCAGTGAGCACCGATTTTTATTATAATATGGAATTCCACATTCCACAATTCCACAAAGTGTCGCCTGATTCTATTAATTAGCTACAAATACTTGACCTATTTCAATATAGTACCTAAGCAGAAGGGCATTAAACAATCAGCCACAACTCCTGACCAGCCTAACAGTACCGTCAAATGGACAGGCGGACAGGCATACATAAATCGAGGAGCTGGCCATAATGGTGGCCTCTCAAATCTATGCCTAAGCCGAAAATCCCGGACTTCTACCTCCGTAATACACTTAAAACGGCTGAGCTTAAATCATCGTCATCGTTTGTTGAACAAGACTCCGGTCACATATCAGCCGGTGACGCCCGCCTGCCCCCGAGCCCCCGATCTCCCTTAGGGGGCCACCCCTCTCCCCCAATAATTTTCAGTCTAGGCACTCTACAGGCATAGATTTAGGCCTACAAGGCGGGTGTTTTGGGTATAGGAAGTGTTTAGGTAATGCTACGAGAGATGCCGTCTTTGATCGAATTTCAGTGCGGTGGCTGAGCTTTGTATACTATTCAGTAACAGTAACTGATGGGGTTGAAATTTGAAGTTTGCTTGCTAACGTACTGAGGATACGTAAAAATCTTAATCTAAAAAACCCGCGATACAAAATAGTGTACTCCAAAAAGTCAATAAAATCACCACTTCAGTGCCAACAACTCGTCGAGACCAGGGGGCCTACTATGAGCTTATAAGCCAGCCAGCCAAGTTCCTTGCAATTCACTTGACAAGATAAAACTGAATGGCTTAAATTCGTATCATGACCTACACAAAGTTGGACAGGAATGGTAAGGCAGGATGATGAGTTTAACGTTAAACGTTAATTATTGTCTCTGTCTGACTAGCTGACATATCAAACAAGAGCGAGATGGAACTACATACTAAATCATATGAAAAAAAATAGACACATGTACTATCCTGGGAGGGTTCAAGCACTATTAACCGATTGTGTTCAAAATGAGGATAATTATATATTTTTTTATTGATTATACTTCTTACTTTGTTTTGTAATATTGGCAACTTTACAATCATACTTTACAATTTGTCGTAAGATAAAATTACATGGCATGTCTAGTCATTATCATTGAAATGAGTGTAAGAAGTGTAGAGAGGTAAGTCTGTAATTTGATGACATAATAAGAACGTATCTTGTATTCGTACATTTTCATTGATTGCAATAAAGTCAAATTTGGCACTATTTGAATGTTTTTTAAATAATTTTATTATTAATAATTTAATAATAAAATTATTAAAATGATTAAAATTCCATTTAAAAATTGCAATAACGTTCATGCCTATAATTTATCAACAATACTTTAAAGATTGGAAACACAAACTAAAATTTTCAAAAAACGCTATATACTTAGAATAATAACGCATAGAAACCTAGTTCGCACACGCTAAGTGAGGCAAATTGAAGCGCGCCAAAAGGGCCTACACGAGCGGGCGGGCCTTCAGTGCTCAAGGTCAACTTGCACCGCGAACAGATCAGGAATTTTAGCTAAGAATGACGAAATGTGCGGTAAATGAGTGTAAAAATACGTCAGACAAACATAAAATAACATCACATTCCACAAGGAAGTAACGCGTTTCAACTTGTATTTTTATATAAATATTCACTAAAACCGAAAATTAACCTACTACTAAAACTAGCCTGCATGAATTTGATTTTTGCCTCACTTGTGACAGTTCGTTTGATATTTAACTATCATTCTATGCGTTATTATTATATATAAAATAATTAATAGTATTTAATAGCCTAAAAAGATAACAAATAATTATGAAACTGAAAATATCATAAAACTAAAACGAAATTTCTTAAAAATTTAACAAACTCTAAAAAAAGGTAGTCACGGAGTAACTTTTTTTGAATTGCTTATTTTTACAGATTTGCATGGCAAATGTTATGTCATGACACGATTTTGCTATGAAAGAAGAGGTGAACGGATTTCGAATGGGGAACGTAAACTGCATGAACAGTGAATTGTTTTTATGAGGTCAGAGTACGAATTTGACAGGCAATCCAACTTACAGGCTTTACTATGATTGCTCTAAGAGCTCATAGAAGGTCCCCAGGGAGTCTAGTCCCGTTCTCCGTCCGAAACAATTGCTGTGAAATAAGTAATACTCGACCAATAAAAATAAAAGACGCATGTTGCGATTGAAGATTCATACTTGACTTCATTTGGTCGCGTATTATTTATTTGACAGTAATTTTTTCGGGCGAATGTCGGTCAGAGAACAGTAGTAGACCCCCAGGGTTGTCGTGAATATCAGCATCAGCATACCATGCGGATTAGGATTGCGGATTAGGCAATAATTAAAATATCCGCATCAGCTTCCGCATTGATTGATGCTGATATTTCTTGAGGATATGTACGTTGTGACATTACTTTGCAAACCATCCAGAAACAGACTGCAAGCCCAAAAGCAGCTTAGCCGTCGTTCTTATCTTTGAATAAATGTCAGTATGATCAAGCTAGGCCGGCTGATTGGTTTGTTGAATGTCACAAAATCATTAAATAAACTTTTTCAAGAAGATTCAATAAACATCTGTACATTTGTCACGATTTTTTTAAATAGATAAAATTAGCATCCGCTTCAGCATCTGCTGATGTGTAAAAAAACCTGCATCAGCAACAACCCTTGTCGAGACCAATGAACTCAAACACGATAGTTATAACTATGTGGTCTGTGGTTATAACAGATAGCACAGGTGAGAAATTACCAAAAAAAAATATGAACTATATACGAGTGAGTCAAACTCAAAGTCAAAGATTATTTATTCCATACATAAAATAAATTTACACTTGAAAACGTCACATTTAAGCTACTGCTCGTTCACTACGCTGACCTCCCTGAGAAGAACGAGCAAGAAACTCTAGGGATTGCTCTTTTCTAATAAACTTAAATGCTATAGAATACACTTTGAATCAAATTTGTGTGGATTCTGGAGCCGTGTCGTCTTTCCATACACCTTTATCTAACACGTAGTCGTCAATTTTGTAATATGATTTTTCAATTAAAATATTTTTATTGTAGTTTTTAAACTTAGGAAATGATAAACTTAATATATGCTCCGGAATGTTATTGTAAAAACTTATACAGTTCAACATAAAAGAGTTGTTTACCTTGGTTAAACGAAATCGTGGTACCATGAGTTTGGATTTAGCTCGTAAGGTTAATATTATGGATATCTTCTTTCTTATTGAAATTATGTATATTTTTACGGGCATATAAAATATTTGAGTAAATGTACTGTGAAAGCCAATGCTCTGAGAGACGAGCAATTAGGGTCCCGCCACAATGTGAATTTTAATTCATTTGTCATGAGAGTACCAACTCAACATCTGTCGACCTTAATGAAGAAGGAGTTTTGACCGAATAGTGTCATGTACCGACGTTTCTGAGACCGGTTACCGGACACTCATGTTGCGTCACAAATCGCGGATAATACATGTAAATTATTAGTAATTTAGTGTTTTATTATATGTATATGTTAGTCTATAAGGTATGTATTTATGGGTCTTTGTAAACTGAATATAAATATTTTCTTAGCGTAGATCTCTCCCTTTGTTTTCCATAATTCGGTTTCGTAGTCCATTGGGGGATAGAAAAGTGTCTTCCATGTTTTTTTGGCCAACTTTTACGTCTTATTGTGTTTCTCAATATATGCAATTTTGCATTACACAATTAAAATAAACTTTGTAATTTTTAAATTTATAGAATGTCACGATGTTGGACCACAATGATACTCAATTATTTTTGTGAAATGACTATAGTCAAAAGACCACTAACTAGTTTTTATAATTGTTAATACCAATATCGAGCAAATGTTTTCTGAGTGTTCGATCTTTATTTGTACTAATAATTATAAAATATACTTTCATAAGTAAAAATATCTAATACCATCATACTACATTGGTTCTTTAGTCATAAACAATTTTTCCACTTGCACCTCGCAGCGCTGTCGTTAAACACTTAACGAGTGTTCGTGCAAATACGGTAGTACCGTTTAACTCTAGGAGGTTGTAATAACTTGAAGTTAGAACATAATAAAGCAGCGTGAGAGGTGCGTGCGCGCAGGACGTCGCCCCGATTTATGCTGGAAATTCGCGTGCCAATACCATTTTTGAACCTAACTGGATTTCTTAGGGTTGAATTTGAATATATTAAAGTCTAGAATCTTCAAAGAATATTCTATTTGTTATTTCATTTTAACTTATTAGAAGGCCAACGGCTATCTTACAGAATAAAAACTTAAATAATAAATTCGTGCCAATTATAGGTCCTCACCGATAGGCGAACATTAAGTTGATTAATGAGCACTAAATTATAACTATATAATTAGTAACTATGTGATATCCCACCTTTTTATTTAAATTTCTTATTTTATTCTCACACTAGTATTTAAATTGAAATTTTGAATTGTTTATTTTGCCTCGCATTCTGATTTGTTTCATTCCATCGTCACTCCCTGCCCGATCGCGGTAGCGAACACATCATTTTAAAGATCATAATATTATTGTTAAACCTGAATAAATACCTATAAAACTGGACTTCCAACTTTTGAACTACTAAACTTACTAAGTAAAATATATGGAGACTGCGGCGGCTGAGGAGGCCACTACTACTCTCCAAATTACATTACATTATCATCAACAGAACTCCACCAGCCCGCATTACAACTATACTATACAGGTATATATAATGACATATTCGCAAAACTAGTGTTAAAAAGGACAATATCTATTTAATATTTTAAATTAACATTACTTTTACAACATAGCACCTTCTAATAGGCACGCGATCAAATGGAATACTTACAGTTATATTTTCTCCAGTGATCAGAAATTCGGGTGCAAATAGTGCAATTATGAATGTTATTGGGAAGCAATAGCCGGTTTACTTGCGAGGGACGAAGGCTCTTATGAGGCGTTGCGAGAGGCGCTTGGCATCGCGTTAGACTCTACGTCCGTGTGCGCCGCACACCTTGCACTTTCAATATTCGACTCGTAAGTAATTAGTAATCCTGTCATTCGAATGACAAATTAGTAAAGTACTAATTTTCGTATTCATCCCTTACTAATCCATAGATTCCATAGAGCACAACGATACTCGTCGTCACCTAGCACTCTCTGACATATGGCAAATACCGTAAATGGACACGGGGACAGGGATATTTTGATATGGACTTGGTGAATGATCTGGTGGAGTTCCGAAATAATAATCATTCGACTTGGGCACCCGACCGAATGCCAGGCATTCCGTATTGGTAATCATTCGACTCCGAGTCGAATGATTGTGTTTGGATTCGACTTAAGCGAATGATTTGCCCATTCGAATGATTAGTATTAGTAACATTCAAACTCGCGCATCGCTATTATGAACCTTCTTCGACATGCTGGCTTTATCATGATGTTTATTTATTTATTGATGGTTTTATTGTTACTGAACATTCACAAACTGCCTCTGTGGCCGAACGGTTACCATGCCGGACTGCCACGCAGAGGTCCCAGGTTCGATTCCCGGGCCGGGAGAAATATTTGTATGGCCTACATTTATTTCTCTCGTGAGTTTGGGTGTAATTTGTGGTTGTCTATGTGTGTCCATGGCACCCGCGACACAGGGTTTCCCTAGTGCGGGGCTATGTTGAGTGTGTGCGTTATTATTATTATTATTATTATATTATTACAAATATACGTTGCCCAACCCGCAAAGGGTCGAATGCCAGTCTGAATTTGATCTAAGTCTACCTAATAATATAATTCACACAGCCCTAATATGCACTGTAAATTCTATCGACACTAGATTTATCCCCGCAGCGTCGTGATTTGCGAGACATTATGATAAGTGGCCGACCGGCGCCTGCGCAATTAGAACACCGCATACGCTGAGCTAAATTAAATACATTAACTATTATTATTCTTAATAGAGAAAAGAGTTTGTTTGTATGCTTGCCTGTTGAACAATTAATCCTTACACTATCTTTATTTAACTAATAGAAAGTCAAAAGCATGTTCTTTTCTGTTTGCTGAACTCTTTTATATTTTCCTGGCGAATATTCACTCAAAAGGAAGGAATGAATTTTAACAGTCATTGCGATTGGGGGCTTAATACTGGCCTGTTAAAATTTACATAACTAAACATGTTTAATAATCACTACTGACATCTGTTGATAATCAAGTGCATTCATATCATATATTCACCTCTGCATTAAATATTTAAAATACAACTATCTGCTGGCTTTTAAATTGATAATGTGTGAAATTTATTAGGTTATGGGCCCAGCACGCTTCTATAGCGCAGCTCATATAGATTAGAAGAGTAATACAGAACAAGAATATTTTTATTTCAAGTGACGGAAGGAACAAGTCGTGTAGATAGATAGATAGATAGATAGATAGATAGATAACACGTTTATTCAGCACAAATACAAACAGAAACAAAACATTTACAATCACTTCACAGAGTATAACATAAAAGCACATAGAACATTCATTATTAATTTTATACACATTTATACAAAACACATATTGCGAGACAAAACAAATACTGTGAGAAAAACAAACAAATACTATAACAACTGATAAAATTTTAAAATACTTATGACTACAGTTTGTGCTGAAATGGGCCTGACTCAGCATAAATACTGTAGACCAAGAAAAGGCAAACAGTGCTGATTTTCTGCCAGTACCATATGGTGAGCGACATATGGTGTACGTGATGGTAAGCGACACGTTCACTTATAGCAGTTGCATTGCCACTCACGGCCCGTGTGGAACTCCTTACATCGACTTCGCACTCAGGTAGGACGCTGCAGTGACAAAATGTATGTATAAGTGGGATTTCAGGGATGCTAGTCCGTGGCCGCTAACAGATTGACTACATGTTTGCGTAATCAACTTCATGCAGCCGAGACCTCGACTGCATTAAGTCGGTTTCGACGGCATGCAGTTAAAGCGTGAAGTCCGAATTATCCCAGACCTCGACTGCATGACGTTGATAACGACTTCATTCATTAACTGCATGCAGTCGAAACAGACTTCATGCAGCCGAGATCGACTGCTTGAAGTTGATTACGACTTCACGCCTTAACTGCAAATATGCAATCAATCTGTTAGCAACATAACTCAGTGTGACTGCGGTGCCCCAGCACAGTCCATGTTGTATACCTACTGTAGTTGTGCCCTAATACCTACACGAGGGAAGATCTCTACGCGTCCACGGGCAACGTAGTCAAGGTAGCAATATACTATTCAAAGTCAATATAGTCCTAAACTAAACGAAGTACAGACACTATAAAAAGTATCACTCAGAGCTCTAAATCTGAGCATTGCCAGTGCATCCGTCAACCTGAAACATGAATTTGACGAATCCCATGTGTCTGCAGTTTCACCAGCGCCCTTACGCTACAAGGCCAGGCTGGAACGCAGTTGTTCTCACATTACTCGGGGATGGAAATATAGTGGATACATAAAGCCGTTGGTAAATAAATTGACATGCGATCATATCTCAAAAGTGCTTTTATCACATGAACATTGTAATGTATGAAACAAATGACGTATATTATATATTTTTGGTATTAAGTGACGGGACGAACAAGTCGTAGGCAGTGCTTTTCAGAGCTTCACTGATCTGGCACTGCCACTGCACACACATAAGTTGACAAGTCTAATGTGCTTGTAATTTCACCGGATCACAAAATCGGAATGCAGTAATGCTCACATTACGCTGTGGCGGCAGAAATAGGTAAGGTGGCAGTACTTCCCTGAACGAACTCTTTTGCAAGGATCTCTACTGCTAATAAAAACTTTTTATTCAAGCATTAAAAAAAATCATTTAAAAAACAAAAACCTGACTCCAAAAATATTTCGCTGGAAAGAAAAAAGTTGTACAAGAAACTGGACTGCAAAAAAATAATTGAAAAGAAATCAACAAGCTCTTTAATCTATAGAGCTTTGTTTGAGCAATGTAGAATGCACTATGCATGCGATGTGTTTTGTTCTGCCTATGACACTCCCACAATCAAGACGAATCTAATGACCCTTATAATAATATGTCAAAATCCATCAAGCCTGTACAGCATGACATAGACGTGGACATACATAAAAAAACATAACCTTCATTCTAACGCAGTCGAGTAAAAAGTTATCGACATTTCGAGATCTAAGGTGTTCGCGATTGTTACACATAGGAAATGAAACAATTTTTCCGGGTTTAAATCGCGTATATTTATTTTTTCGTTTCGACGTTTCGGGCCCTTTACCACCTCAGTCAACTTGTGACCATGGGACCTGTAATATTAGACAAAATTACGATGCTAGATTTTTTTGAAACATCAGTAACAATTTTATTCTATGAAGCAAGTAAAGCAACGTTAAATGACAGCACAAGTTCTCCATTGGACGTCGCAACAAAGTTACGACGAGCAGTTTCAATACCGACGTTGTCGGTGAAACAGTTGCAGTATGAGACATAGTCATAAATTTGAATGCTGCAATTTATTAATTCGATTAATTGTCTACTGTACTCAAATATCAGCTAGGTGTATAATATAAATGAAATAACAAACTTAGTCCTGTGATATTACTTTTATTTATTGTTGAGATGTTGTTATTCAATACTGTATTACACGTGTAACATTGGTTTATTTATCGAATTGTTAGGTTTTCACTATTGCTTCAATCTCATACGAAGAGAACATATTTACTGTCGTGAACTATGAAGACCTGATACGTGGGTGTAAATATTATTCAACAATATCACACATGTTGATATGATCCCAAGGTAACTAAAGCATTTGTGTTACGGAAATTGGAAACTACGACGGAACCACAAGCACCCAGACCCGAGACAATATAGAAAAGATAGTTTTCTTCATTAACCCGGCCAAGGATCGAACCGAGGACCTCAGAGATGGCGACACCATGGAAACCGGTATGCAAGCCACTCGAACACGGAGGTCGTCATGCATGGTTTGTTTGAAAAATAAACAAATAAATCAAATGTCGACTGCGAACTGGTAATCGGTACTATCTCAATTTTAACAACTTTACAGGTGAAGTAAAAAATTGTTTGCGTCGTTTATATAGAATCTGGTTTATTAAATAAAAATATGTAGTTATTAAATATTTTTATTACACATGTATGTAAACTACGTATTTTTATTTAATAATCCAGGTGCTATATAAATGATTACTTCTTCATCCTGTAAAGTTGTTAAAACCTTCCTTCACAGTTGGTATGCGATTTAGATCCGAAAATAATTCATTTACATACATTTATACTCACGCCTGTCTTCCACCGGGGTAGATAGAACATGGACCTCTACCAACTACGCTGTTGACTAACCTCCTTTGCATCCTCCACTCCCACTAGTCTTTACAAACATGCCCGTTTATTCTTGCTACTTTATGTTATTATATAATACAATTATTAATATTAAATATAAATAAATAAAGATAAATACAATGTCTACATACTTCTAAGATTTTTTTAATATTTTGTGTTAGTTCGTTCATAGCATGAGGAATGAATGGCATCGAAACAAACCCAAGTAGGTTTTAACGATATGGTACTTTTCAATATTTATGTATACTTTTTTCTAAAAACAATAAAATAAATAAAAATAAAACATATTATAATTTATTTACTAAAATATTTTATAAATTTGCGAATAGATATCAATTTTCCCTTGATGCTAACGTAGGTAAATGACATACTAATGCAGTGACCCTCTGGGTAACAAAACATCTTTTCTCGCGATTCTGTAGAGAACGTAACTAGGAAACCATTACTCTAGCTACCTGTTTCTACCACAATGAAACACGTTTGTGTTCCAGATTGGCGTATGCCAATATATATGCCAATACGTATTCCAGATCTCTATGGCGTATATTCCGTTTTGAAAAATAAGTAAGACTGAGGTCGCTCTTTGTGAATAGACATTTGTACAAATTTAAAATTTACCATATATATGTATTTCAAATAACATAGGTAAAAACAACCTGAAAGAGGTAAACGGGTCACTTACGTGGATTTTTGTCATATAAGTACGCTGAAGCTGTATATTAGTATAAAGTTTTTGTTTCACTATAGTTTCAAACCTTGTGAATGACAAATTTTGAATATCAACCGGAATCTTATTACAGAAGAGTATAATAAGCCCCTTAAATATTCGTGACTTAGTGAAGACGACTGTCAAGAACAACCAGTTTATTTTTATTCCTCATATTAATATTTACTTTTCTTATTAAAATATTATCCTTCTTAACATAAATTACACTGTAATTTTTAAGTTTTTATTGAATGTCACTATGTTTCACCACGACATACAATTATTTTTGCGAAATTACTCTACTAGTTCATTATAATCATACAAAGATCGAACACTAAAAAAAATTCCTTCGTAATATAAATAAAATTTTCATAAATGTACTGTGACGCTAGTGTAAGAATATTAATTTCTGTAAACTTATCTCTTAAATACACCCAACAGCACCCAAATTTTCTATTATCAGGTATATTTGTCACAGCACAGATTAATTTTTTTCACTATAGTTTAATACCTAGTTTTTAGTAAGGTTAAAAAAAGGGTACAAGTTATTAAAACTTTTTTTTAAGTTGGTTGAATTCTTTTTTTAAGTTTTTATTTTTTTACAATTAAAGACTCACTTCCCGTGAAAGATTATTAAAATTTATATATACGTTAAAGTTTATTACTTCTAAGCCATTTCTTACTTGCCAAATATATTTAAAAAGAAAAATTAATAAATAATTTCATATTTTTGAGTAAGGACATTTATCCAGAACTAGTTCACAAAAAGTTTATCTCATTTTTAGTTAAGTAGATTATCTTGTAATAGTTTCTAACAATATGGTAACGACATTTTTATTGACGTGTAGAGAATCAAATTCTACGTTCCGAAATGATATAATCTGGGATTTCACATATTAGATTTACAACACATATACTAGCGAAGCGATGTGTTTGAAACTAGCATCAGTGCATAGCTCATACTGTTACAAGGTTCTAAATACCAAATACGCTTAAGCACAAAACGTGTAGTCAATAAATACAGCATGGAATAAGTTCCCGTTGCTTCATTACAGTGCAATTAAACCAGCGATAAGAGTTCGTAATTACGTATGCTAATCTCACAGTTAATTCACAGCACTTGTACAAAGATATGCGATCCTGGTAGGTGCCATTATGTTTATCGATATAATTAAAATAAAATAGAATAGAGTTATAATATCAATGTGGGTTTATCAAGTTGCATTATCGGGTTCCTCGGAAACTAATGAAGTCGATAAAGTTTGTGAAAGAAATGGATAATTATTTAGTAAGAATTACAAAGAGAAAAATACAAAATTGAAACATTCCCCCTCAAAAAGTGTACTCCAAAAGACAACATGACGCATAGGTAAAGGAGTACATAAGTAATATAGAGCAAAGTCTCAGTCCTTCATCTTCATGCCATTTTATGTCCCACTGCTAGCACGGGGCTCCTCTCAGGTGAGGATTTAGGTCATAGTTTCCCTACCGCCCCCCAGTGGCGCTAAAGAGTCCTAGGTAGGGGCCTCGGAACAACTGGGGCGGAACATCGACGCTGTCCAGGGGTTGCTACCACATTTGCAAAAATAACCTAACCTAACCTCAATACAGAGTACTAAAAAAAAACCGACTTCAAAAGTCATTCATCCTCTAGTTTACCACCCTTGGAGGTCGAATATTTTCTTCAAATTTAAATGTGACCACTTCTGAGGTACCCTCTTTCCAAAAAAAAAAAGAATCATCAAAATCGGTTCACAAATGGCGGAGTTATAGTTAGGCACCTCTAGGTGTGGTATGCGTCTACGGCTGCATGTATCGCGTGAGCGGCTAAGTAGGCGGTGAGCTAAAAAGTTTGGGAACCTATGGTTTAGGCCATAGTCCGCCGCACTGGCCCATTGCAGGTTCGAGGTTTACACGTTTTTCGACGGCTGTGAACCTTCTCCCACATGTAGATTGCACCACGATATTTTCTTTCACCGAAAAGTTTCAAATTAAATTTAACGCACATAAATTCTGCGAAACTCAAAGGTGTGAGCACGGATTCGAACCCACGGCCCCTGCTTGAAAGGCGGTAGGTGGGTAACCTATCACAAAGTCAAATTTTTTTTGTCGAATTTTCATTACACCAAAAACCAAATTTTAACGAAACAGTTGCACTTTCATGGTATGTTGAATGTTTATCGCAAAGACACGATTATGTTCGGTTAGGTTAGGTTAAGTTTCACGTACGCTCAGACGATCTCCCATGCACGTCAAGACGTGCGTATTAGGGAGACCGCCACCGGGGCCCGCATTTTGGAGGTCCCGGACGCCGCCAGCGACGAAAAGGCAGACCGCTTGGCCTCCAGGCTCCGGGAAGTGTTAGGCGACGACGTTGCGGTCGCACGGCCCACAAAATGCGTGGAGCTGCGCATCTCCGACCTCGACGACTCCGTCGGCCGAGGCCGAGGAGGTGCGTGCGGCCGTGGTGGCGAAAGGGTCATGCTCCGTTGACCAGGTTCGGGTGGGCGCCATCGCTACCGGAGCGGACGGCCGCGGGGCAGTCGTCGTACGCTGCCCCATCGTCGTCGCCAAGGCGGTGGTCGCCACAAAGTTCCGGGTGGGGTGGAGCACTGCACACGTCAGAGTGCTTGAACCGTTGCCCATGCGGTGCTATCGCTGCATGGGCATCGCTCACGTAGGACGTCGCTGCCCAGTGAGCTTGAACCGGAGCAATTTGTGCTACCGGTGCGGCAAGCCAGGTCACCGGGCGGCTGGATGTCAGGCGGAGCCAAAGTGCGCCGTCTGCGCCGATCTTGGTCGGCCGGCGGCGCACATAATGGGAGAGAAGGCGTGTCGCCCTCCCCCAATGAAGGCTAAGGAGACCCCAGTAGCCAGGCCTCCACCGCAGCAACGGTACCTACGGCTGCGCCAGTGGAGGAAGTTGAGATGTCTATTGATGGACAGGCTTGAACTCAACTTCCTCCAGGTGAACCCGAACCACTGCGCCAGAGCACAGGACTTGTTCGTGCAGTCCATGCCTCAGTGGTCAGTGGACGTTGCGGTAGCCGCGGACCCGTACTACGTTCCCAGGCATTCCAACTGGGCTGGGGACATGGACGGTGTCGTGGTTATCGTCACGCCGTCGGCGGCTCCCCCTCTCGTCGTAAAAGAGAGGGGGGCCGGTTACGTGGTGGCAGTGTGCGGAGGAGGGGTGGCGGTAGTGGGCGTTTATTTTTCGCTCAACCGCCCAATGGCCGAGTTTGAGCCGTTCTTGTTGAGGCTCAGCTCGGTCGTGAGGAGGCTCGCCCCGGCGAATATTTTGGTAATGGGCGACCTCAATGCCAAATCGGCGGCTTGGGGCAGCTGCTTGCCCAACGCCAAGGGGCGAGCGGTGCAGGCGTGGGTGACGGCCAACGGCCTGGTCGTCGCCAACCGCGACACAGCCAACACCTGCGTGAGGAGGTGGGGGGGTTCCATCGTGGACATAACGTTCGCGACCCCCACCCTAGCCTCACAAGTGCAGGACTGGCGGGTGCTGGAGGGGGAGGAGACCCTTTCGGACCACGTATACATAAGGTTCAGGGTCTCCTCCTCGCAGGCGTCAACGACGACGCCTGCACGGCGAGGGCGAGGGCGAGAGGGGTTTCTCCGTTGGGCCCTCGCCAAATTCGATGCCGAAAGGACAACGGAGGCGGCTATCGTGGCCGCATGGGGCGCTTCCCCCCAAGTGGGTTCGAATGAGATGGCAGTCGGGTTCAGAAGGAATCTGACTGCCATCTGCGATGCCGCAATGCCCCGTAGCGGCGGCAGGCCTCCCAAGAAGAGGGAGGTCTACTGGTGGACGCACGAGCTCGCGCTTCTGCGATCCGCCAGCAACACCGCGCGGTTTAGATGAGGAATTTTTTTTATATTCTTTCGATAATCGTATCTTCGAGACGAGAAACTCTCTCCATCTAAATGGGTCTTTATACCTGAGTCCTTGGGCAACAGCAGAATTCTCACAAATCTTAAGTAGCTCGCGGAGGGCACATAATGATGGGCTCAGCAGCACCATGTCATCTGCATAGCTGATATTGTTAACTATAACGCCATCCAATGAGCAGCCTACATTAGTACTGCTGAGCTGAAATGAATTCTATTTTCAATGTGCAACAATCGCGAAAACCTAAGAAATCGATAATCTATATCTTCGCAATCGCAAACAACATTTACAATTTAAAAATAAATCTCCGAGTGCACGTCGATTTTAGTGATGTCAATAAACAAACCGCAAATTTAAATGTAAATAACAAATATTCAACAGTCAAGCTGTCAGAAAATCGTAATGAAAAGTCAAACTTTTTGCACAATATTGTCAACGTCAAATAGTCCATGGGATAGAGTGGAACTATCGGATGTCCATTTAAAAATTAAATTGTATTAATACACCTTAAAACACGATCGCTATGCGAATAAATTCAGTACCAAATAAACACTGAATTGTAAAATGGGTATTAATATGAAGCTCGACGATTGAGTGTGAATAAAACATTTTTTAATCATTGTTGTTGCAAGATGGTTTTTACTTTAAACAGATTCCAAAATTGGAGAAGGAGGCGAATAGTAGTAGCGGTAGAGCTCCTTGTGAAAAGGTCCAGAAAAGTACTGCCACTTTGCCTGTTTCTGCCGCCAAGCAATAATGTCAGCATTACTGTGTTCCGGTTTTGAAGGGTAGGGGTGCTGGTGAAATTACAGGCTCATGGGACTTGTCAACTTATGGTTCAGGGTGACGGGCGCAGTGGCAGTGCCATATCTTTGTGATTTAAAGCTCTGAGTGGCACTGCAACTGTTATGGATAGGCGTGTAGCTTACCATCAGGCGCACGACTTGTTCATCCCGTCACTTAATATAATAAAACAAGAGGAGTTGAATGCTCATATTGAGGCATTACCGCCGACGCGACGTAAGCGACAAAAAACAAATTTTACTGGACAGGTGTTTTTTAAAATGTTACTACATAAAAAAAACTAAATTGACTTGCAATCATTGACCTTAGTAATACATAAAATAATGATGAATTTCGTAACCGATTCTGTAAGAACTAAACTATTTTAAAAAAACTGAATGTTTAAGCCTTATTCGGCGCTTACAATATTTTTGACATTTTTAAGGATTTCAGGCTTTTAAGGCAACACTGGCGATTAAAAATATGCAACAAGATGCAACCACGGATTTTATATTTCATATGCAACCATTGACTTACAATTATTTGTAAGTCAATGTATGCAACACGTTTCTTACCACTTTGTTTATAGTAAACGATGAAATTGTAATGAACTATGTCGGTTGCGAAAACAAGTAGGGTCGCTTACTTTTAATACTTAGATAAGACAAAAAAATTTCAACGCTCGCCACCACAAAAAATAATTGAAAACACGTTATTTTTATTTACACAAAAAATCACAAGGAAAAAATATATTAGTAGCACCTGGACAGCATTAACGCCATTCGAAGCCCCTACCGCCCCCCTAAGACTCTTCAGCGCCCACTGGGGGATGGTAGGGACCACTTTGGGAAACTATACACTAGAATATAAAAACCAGTTGAGCTAACGAAACTTAGCTTTTTCTATAATTTGTTTGATGTAATTTTGACGGGAAATGTCGACACGTTCTCGTCCGTTATAGTTTAAAATATCATTTACAATAAAAAACGCTGTTTAGGTAAAAATAGCGCTTACGATAATGTTACTTGTCTCTCATTATTTTTCTTGTCAAAAATTGTATGCTTATTGACGTAAATTAACTTGGATGTACTGTGACGGACGACTTAATATGCGAGGAATACAAATAAACTGACTGTTCTTGACAGTCAGTCGCCATCACATAGTCACGAATTTATTTAATGGACTATGTATATGCTTCTATAAGATTCCGGTTGATATTAAAAAGTTGCCATTCACGAGGTTTAAAACTATAGTAAAATAGAAACTTATTAATAAAGGTTATTTATTATACAACTTCTGCGTACTTGGATGACAAAAATCCGTGGTAGTGATCTGTTTACTTACAGGTGTCTAGATCTATGATGATTGAAATAAATATTAATACCTACAAACAGCAATCCCAGAGTTTCTTGCTCAATCTTCTTAGGGGAATCTGCCTCAAGAATGAGCACTAGAGTGTAATCAGTATGACGATTTCAAGTATAATTTGCCCATGCAATAAAGATTATTTTGACTTGACTTTAGCTTTGATATTTTATCAGAGTCTAAACGAAATCGCAGACTAAAACTGCTAGATAACTAATTTGATATAAAGCTTAGACGTGAATTTGGCTATGCCATAGCCAACTTCACACTTTATTGGCTAAATGACGAACATCATATTCGCATTCCGTATTTATGGCATTTATTATGATTCGAATACTGAACTTTGAACCTTATAGTTGGTTATTCTTTAGGCACAAATTTACATTTACCCCAATTGTTTACGTCGTAATTGAAATAGATCAAACTTTATTAGAATAAAGCTATGCACTTCCGAAATTAATTGGAAATTGACACTAGAATTTTGAATAATGACGAATTTTGCCCGCTTATTACTTTTTGCTCTCACTGCCTAGGACTGCCTGAAAGAAAGCTTAAGTCCAGCTTTGCTCACCTTTTACATATTTTTTTCTTTTGTTTGGTGCAATTAAGAATATACATATACAATGGTCATGAAACTTAGTGTTAGAATAACTTTTTTTGTAATACCAAGTGACGAAAAGAACAAGTCGTGCGCCTGTTGGCAAGCGACACGCCTATCCATAACAGTTGAAGTACCGCCTCAAAACTTTAGATCGCAAAGATGTTAGAGGCACTGCCACTGCGCCCGTCATCTTGAGGCATAAGTTGACAAGTCCCATGTTCCTGTAATTTCACCAGCACCCTTACTTACCCTTCCAAAGCGTACAACGTAGTAATACTTACATTACTGTTATACTTAGTTATGTTTAAAACAGATACTGTTTTCTATTATATAGGAGTAAATATGTACTTATATATCTACAGAGGTTTCAGTAAATTGTCATGACAATGTGTGGAGCAACCTATTGTAAACATGAATTACTTAAGTACTTTCTTCCGAATCTCATTATTCCGAACTGAATTCGACTTTTTTTCATTAGTGCAATGATTGTTTTGGCATCAATATGTAACACAGAAATATCTTACAACAAAGCTATTGTTTGTTTGAAAAACTTTTACACGCTTACTTGCTTGGTTGCTAGCATTCAGATTATTATAGCTATGGTTCAAGTATGAACTTTCGAATTATTATAAATTAAGAATGAAACCAAAATGACACTGATAGATTAGGTTATGGAATTGCAGAGCGAGCGCAGCAAACGACGCTGCTAGCTTGCTTGTTCGCATGGTTGTACGATTGCATATTAAACACGCATACTTGCTTGCTCCTTTGCTTGCATAGTAGTCGTTTCATTATGATTTGTGTGAAATATGTATACTAAATTAATACAAAACACGTTTTACACTTTTTACACGTTTAAACAAAGTATAACGAAATATCAGGGAAATGAGATTCGGAAACGAATATCTTATCTATGTGTCAAAATAGAGAAGTAATAAATGAAAGATGTAACAAAACAATTCGTAATGTTTTTTTTTTTGGACAAATGAAACAAAATCTGTTCAATGGTTACCTAACGGTTTGCGGAGAAACAAAATTCAGCAAGTAAATCACGTTTCTAGCTTGTGATAGGTAACCAATGTGTAGGCATACGAAATATGATTTTCAGTTCGTCTATCTGTCCGAAATGACGAAACCAACACACTGTTGCCCATTGAAAATCCTCTAACACAGTAACAAAGCACGAACCGCAAAAAACTATCGAGCACTGAATAGAACAAATATAAAAAAAATAGGCTCTCTTTTTGAGCGCAGATTGTCGTGGTTTGGAGCCCTGTGCGGCGATATTAATTCTTGGACAGGGGCCGTGACAAACGCGGACTGCGATTGCAAACATAAATAAACAAATAAACGTAAGTAATAATTACAACAGTTTCTTTAAATTTCCGATGTACACGTTCACCGAAAACTAGCACGCACCTATCCAAATAAAAAAATAACTGAAATATAGGAATGGATTACAAGCAAAACATAATACAATAAGATGGAAAGCAAAATCAATCGAGATATTGGATGATCGGTACCCCCGGCTGGAAAACATTGCTAGGTATTTCGTCAGTGATTAGCGTGGATAAGACTAGGAAGTGTCGTTGTTAGTATGGTGTGCAATTATGGTTACTTTAATAAAAATTAAGCAAACGAGAGGTAGTTGCTCGCCGTCGCCGCCTGCGCCCGCAACCGTACAAGTGATCGGGCTGCCAGGTCTTTGGTAGTTAGTAGTTTCCGTCGAGTCACTGCCGCGGAATCTTATGTTTAAGAACCTCGGACTGGTTCGAAACTTGTCGAGCAAAAATTGGTTTTCTATTTAAGAAACAAAAACGTTTATTCAATCCATTAAGCCATTTTACAGACTTAAAATTAATACACTAAAACAACAAGTTATTCATAACTGCGTAATTTTTAGGTCCAGAGCGCGTTCTCATTATGTCGTAACGACAGATAGTCGTGCAGTTTCAAGTGTTGTGGCTTGTATATTTAAATGAAGTTCTTCAAACATAGAACAACACAATAAAAATATGTCGTTAACGACTTTTTTGACGTTACGACGACAGACTGTCATGACAATGGGAAGAGCTAGTACGACAGTCGTCGGACGATAAATAAAACGCCACGATAAAATGTGACGACAGATAATCGCAGCTTCAAATATTTCTGTCGTGCAAACGATAAACCGGCTGCCGTGAACTGATAAATTGTCGTCACGATTTAGTGGGAACTGCTCGAT